ATGGTGGGGGCCCCTCATAATGGGCACAGCGGGTGTACAGACCCGGGAACTCAGCACAGGAATGGTGGGGGCCCCTCATAATGGGCTCAGCATGTGTACAGACCCGGGAACTCAGATCTTCCCATAGCATTCAAAAGAGATAGAAAGGACTACCAGAATGTTTTTTTTTCTCCAACACCCAAAACTAAAGTATATCAGTTCTGGGTAGAGTAACCCTTTAATCAAACCGCCACAGATCACCAGAAGTGGGAGGAAGTCCTGCACCAAGATGGAGGATGCCACAAATAAAAGCACACACTAACACCGCTCACCTGCGTGGCGCTGTCGGCATTCGACGATCTCGGACTCTGCTCAAGAAAGGATGGGCGTTACAATACACAGAGAGGACCGGCAAGCGGCAGCAGTTATACAGAGACCATCAGCACGGCTGTTACATGTCACAGTTCTGACCCAGCAATGGAGGTCGCCAGCTCCCGGAGGTGGCGTCTGACCCAGGCAGACACGTCACCGCGTGTGATGCCTCAGCGGTGAACTCTGCCCTGGCAATAGCGCCGCCTCCAGGGGTCAGATGACAACATCCACCTCTTCTGTGCCAGGTACCAACTGTCCTTGCAGGCTCCCTGCATGCGCAATATGGGGAATACCCGCAAGTCTGATGAAAGCTGGGCGGGGGCGGGGGAGTGTTCATAAGAGGAAGCCGCCCTCTGCACCCTGGGTAAAGCATTGCCAAACTGCAGCATGCAAGAGTGTAGAAGTGCAGCAACACACACACTTTAGCATGAGCACATGAGCGCCATTCGCAGACACAGGCAACGATATTGGAAGCTTCCAAGGTCTGATCTGGGCCACAATGACTCAATCTTATCAATGTGTGTTATTTGGGGGTTGTTTTCTAGGGATGCACCGTTACCAATACCGGTATCAACGCCAATACTGGGCATTTTCATGATTATCCGTGACAATGCCCCAATACTAAAACGCAGATACCAGCACTTTACATTTTTAAACTGAAGCGGCTGCCTGAGGGCCAACGTTTGCTGGGGACCTGGGCAGCTTTCACAACGCTGGCAGCACATCTTCTCCTCCTTACCGGGGAAACACACGTCGCTGTTTACAGCACTTCTGCCACCCACAAGACCCTCCGGACCCTTGGTGAGACCCCGCACTGCTCTCCTGAAACGGCGCACAGCCCTACTGAGACGCAGCACAGCCCTCCTGAGACCCCCCACCTGAGATCCTGCACAACCCACCTGAGACCCTGCACAGCTCTACTGAGACGTGAGAACCCACAAAGCTCTCCTCAGACCCCGCACAGTCCTTCTCAGACTCCGCACAGCCCACCTGAGACCTGAGAACCCACACAGCTCTCCTGAGACCACACAACACACCTGAGACCCTGTACAGCCCTCCTGAGAACCCATGCAGACCACCTGAGAAGCCGCACAGCTCTCCTGAGATGTGAGAACCCACACAGCTCTCCTCAGACCTTGCACAGTCCTTCTCAGACTCCGCACAGCCCACCTGAGACCCTGCACAGCTCTCCTGAGACGTGAGAACCCACAAAGCTCTCCTGAGACCACACAACCCACCTGAGACCCTGTACAGCCCTCTTGAGACCCCATGCAGACCACCTGAGACCCCATGCAGACCACCTGAGAACCCACACAGCTCTCCTCAGACCCTGCACAGACCTTCTCAGACTCTGCACAGCCCACCTGAGACCCCGAACAGCTCTCCTGAGACGTGAGAACCCACAAAGCTCTCCTCAGACCCCGCACAGTCCTTCTCAGACCCAGCACAGCCCACTTGAGACCTGAGAACCCACACAGCACTCCTGAGACCACACAACACACCTGAGACCCCGTACAGCCCTCCTGAGACCCCATGCAGAACACCTGAGACCCCATGCAGACCACCTGAGAACCCACACAGCTCTCCTCAGACCCTGCACAGACCTTCTCAGACTCCGCACAGCCCACCTGAGACCCCGCACAGCTCTCCTGAGACGTGAGAACCCACAAAGTTCTCCTCAGACCCCGCACAGTCCTTCTCAGATCCGGCACAGCCCACTTGAGACCTGAGAACCCACACAGCACTCCTGAGACCACACAACCCACCTGAGACCCTGTACAGCCCTCATGAGACCCCATGCAGAACACCTGAGACCCCATGCAGACCACCTGAGAACCCACACTGCTCTCCTCAGACCCTGCACCGACCTTCTCAGACTCCACACAGCCCACCTGAGACCCCACACATTCCTTCTGATATCCTGCAAAGTCAGTCTGAGACCCTGGAAACATCATCTCTCCACCCCAGAGAAACACAGAGCTTCATATTATTCTGCATTGCTGTATAATGTACTGCTGGGATTTGTAATCCTCTGTAGCTGATGGTATTACTCTGCATTGCTGTATAGTGTACTGCTGGGATTTGTATTGTTTTAAAGCTTGGAGTCAGTGACAGAACTACCAGGGTTGCAGCGTTTGAAGCTGCGATCGGGTCCTGGCGCTCCACCACTGTCCTAAAATCATTAGTTTGCATTGTTTTAGAAAAACTGTCACATGACATTAAAAAAAAAAAGGTATCTGTAACTGATATCGGCGAGTACTTGAGAAAAAGTATCGGTATTCAGATTCAGACTGGAAAAAATAGTATCGGTGCATCCCTAGTTGTTTCTATGTACAGAAAATCATATACACCGGTGTAGGAAATATCTGAACCCCATTCCGGTGGGGGTGAGGATAACATTGGCAGCACCTACCCGGACTTCCCGGTACATTCGCAGGGTGGTGCCATTCAGCATGAAGTAACGGTCGTGGAATTTTGCGGTGAAGTCCAGCAGACTTTTATCCTCCCGGAAACTCATCCACCCGTTCTTGGAGGCTTCCACCCAATTTTCTAAAACAACAAAGAGATGACAAGGATGGAGACGTGTGCTGGGCTGACCGCTTTAAAAGGGAACCTGTCACAACACAAATCACAAAGACTGCTGCTGCCGGACACCTTATGAAAAAACAAAAGATGCCAGTTGTCTGACCATCATGTTGATCCCCTGACTTCAATCCAGGAGGTAAGTAAACTGTTCCTAACGCTATACACAGAGACAAGCGATTTGCTGTTATATGTGCCGATTGACCAGTCACGCATGCTACAGTCTGGTTGTACAACTCCCTCAATGTTGGCCACATACACATCACAGCCTGATTGTATGATCTTCCTTAGATCTGAACTCTGACAGTATATAGCTGTTGGCAGATGTAAAGGAGATTGTACTACCAAATTGTAGCATATGTAGCGTGAAGGACCCATTGGGTATTCATTGAAACGATTGTTCAGGTAAACACTACCTAAATTGGCCACATTACACAGATTATAATCTCTGCAACCTCTTTTAGACTGAACACCAACCAGGTCCGCTGATAGGGGGCTACAGGCAGTACTCCCATACAGGGCCCCATTGGATCAGCAGGGAGGCTCTACAATTGGCTCCACTACCCTATTCTTGCCAGACAGCTCTCCTCCAAGAGTAACATGTCACATTTGGGGGGGGGTGAGCATGTTGCCAGTGCAGCCTGGTAGGAGAGAAGACGGTGTGCAGGGGCCAGCAAAGCTTGGGTGAGGCCAGGGATGTGAGCGGAGGATGCCGCAAGGTGGAAATTGAGGCTGCCATTTGCACCGCATTGAGCCTCACGAACAATGACATCAACAAGGTGGTGGCAGCGCCAGGGCTGCCTACAGAGGGGGTACAAGCAGTACTCCTGTACCAGGCCCATGGGGGGGGGGACCTGTCAGGTAGGCTGTACAGGGCCCCATGATTTCAAATTGTGGCCCATTACCAACCATGAGTGTGAGACCATTCCCCCCAACTCCCACATATCCAGGGGCAATAATGTTGGCTCCGCCTTCCCTACATTGCATAACTAGTGCAGATCAGGCCACTTACTGGTGTAATTTAACATGGCGTCCATGTTGGGGTCCTCCTTTACCACCAGGTGGGTATTGCTGTTGACCTTGGTGTGGAAGATTGGCAGCACTTTCTCTGAAAAGTGTAGAGGGCGCTCTGCAGAGAGAAGGCAGGAAACAGTTAACGACGAAGCCACTGCAAAGACATTCAACCCGGAACTGATACTCAAAGCGAGCGTATGAAACTGCAAACCCCCGGTGACCCTCCATACTGCCGCCTACCTATCTCTTCCGCCGTATCCACCTCCACACAGCTCCAATACTCTCCATGGTTGGGAAAAATATTCCTCCTCTCCAGCAGCGTCTCCCTCAGCTCCTGCGCCGTCATGGTGACTGCGATCTGGAAGAAGGTGCAAAAATATGACACGATATTTGTATCTCTCTAATCAATGTTTATAAACAATGTTACTTTGTATCTCTCTATCTCCCTCTGATCAATGTTTATAAACAATGTTACTTTGTATCTCTCTATCTCCCTCTGATCAATGTTTATAAACAATGTGTTAGATGGTCTGTTTTTCGATAGAAGCAATTTACATAATAACTCCCTGCTGTTATTTTGATACATTGTAGACAGGTACTCACGTGGACACTCTGCTCACATTCCGGCTTCTTTTCTCTCAGGTAGACGGAGCAGATGAAGTCGGTTCCCTGCGAGCCAAAGAAATGTAATAATGAGGATTAATGTTCATAAGGGAGTCACTCTGCTACGTCGCTCGAGCCGTGTCTTACCCTGGGCTTGTGTTGGGCGCTTCGCACTTTCATGATGGCGGCGGCGATGTCCAACTGCTTCTGGAGCTCCTGCAGGTTCACCTGCACAGACAACAAAGTGACACTGTTGCAGCTGACTGCACTTGGGGGGGTATATTATATTAAGGGGGCTGCAACAAAATATTTACACCTGCAGGGAAATTCCAGGCAGCAACTAAACCAATCAATGAACTAATATTCTATCCAGGAAGCATAAGTGTTGTACATGGAAAAAAAAATATTAGAACTTCTATTGGTTTTGTTTTCAGTGCGGCAGTTTCCAGGTGCTTGGTGGCGGGTCTCACCTTTGCCGAGTGCCCTGCACACAAAACACATGATCTCTTTAATTCAAGCATTGCCTGTTTGTTTACCACCACCTGGCAGTGCAACAGAATTATTAAATGCCCCCCTTAAAATA